TGAACGTTTTTTCATTCTTTTTTTATTTCTTCCATTTTATTCTCCATTTTTTTAATCCTCATTTCGTTTTCCTCTTTTGTTGTTCTTTTTTTTTCATTTTTCATTTTCTTTATATTCACTCTTCTTTTTCATTTCCATTAACCTTCTCTTTATTCTTTTTCTCTCTTTTTCTTTTGGCCAATATTTTCTTTCCTCCTTTTAAACTCATTCTCTTTAAATTTCCATTCATTTTTTTCTCAATTTTCTGCCTTTCTTGACCTTTTCAAAATTATTCTTTACATCAGCATTATTATTATTTTTATGTTGAAGCTTAAATAAGCATGGAATAATACAACACAAAATGTACGTTAACAAAATGTATTGAAACAAAGAATAGGTACACAATATTTACAGTTAGTTTGGTATATTCTTGGGAAGACTGTTCCTGCATAATGGGTTGACTAAATCGCAGTCGGGCAGAGTCTCTGGATTCAATTTCTTAATCTCTACTATCTTCCCCGTCTTCCGGTACCAACCCATATTTATATGGTCGGTAGTCCGCTTATGTAAATTAGGTGTATCATACACAACATTTTATTATTTTGATTTTCTTTGATTTCTGGCGTTTACACATTTCTTTCCGGGTCCCGCCCAGGGACCTAAGCTTATTATTATTATTATTATTATTATTATTATTATTATTATTATTATTATTATTAATATCATCACTATTATTGTTATTATAATTATCACTATTATTATAATTGTTATCACAATGATTATTATTATTATTATTACTACTACTTAGTGTTCTAATGAAAAATAATCACACTTTATAATACCCCACCCCCAGGTATCCGTCTAAACTTCGAGACGCAATAGCTTAGCCAATATCTTGCATCGTTTATATCGCTTCGTTTCACATTACACTTTGATGCATTCTCAAAAATTTTTCCGCATCGTTTCATATTATTATTATTATTATTATTATTATTATTATTATTTGTGTATGTTATGTTTCCTGCTTTGTATCCTCTAGAGACAGATTCAAACTATGGTCCTTAGGTCCTTATAGGTGAATTGTCATTTAATTGATAGCACTTTTCTTAGTATAGGGGATGTTCCTAAAAGGGCGATCTTCTGGGAAACTTATATGTTGATGTTATCTGGGACATTGTTAGTAAAACTGTCCATTCCTTTTCTCACGAGGCCCAGAGCTCCGATTACTATTGATACAGTTACTATTGATACATTCCCCACATCCTGTTAATCTCGATCTACAGGTCCTTGTATTTGGACAATTTCTCAATTATTATTATTATTATTATTATTATTATTATTATTAACCTTCGTCTCCTGATATTTTGAGACTTATTCGTTGATCTAATCAATAAATGATATTTTGTCTATCTGCATCGATGTTTTTGTATGTTTGTGACGAACTTTTTTCCGAAATAAAAATAGCACTTTAATTTTATACGTAATACTGATGTCTTGAGAGGTTTAAAAAAAGATTCAATTTTCATTTATTTTAACGACTTAAAGCTATGTTATCAAACAAAAAGTTTTCCGAGGCTGTCTGTTATTTTTCTTTCGTCTAAGAAGGAAATTGCTTGTTCGACAAGCAAACATCAACATTATTTTGTTAAGCCATTTTATCAAAGAATTTAAATTCGAAATATTTTTGATGCAATATTGTAAGAACTGATTCTTATTTACACTATTTATATTCTTCGGACAGTTGTCATCTTCATTATTGTCATATTCACGGCGTTTCGGCCGCTGTACGCTCCGACATTTTTCAGATGGGGACAACAGTCCAAACAATGTAAATAGTGTAAATTACATTGAAATTACAATACCTCATCTCAGAAATATAGACAGAGCTTGTTCTTGTTCCTTTCTTTTTATGGTTGGTGGCCTGGATGGATACCAGCAATCATGGCTCTCCACAACTTTCTCTTCTTTCTAGTTCTAGGCAATTTTTTTTTACTATACCTCCCCCTTCTACTCTGATATCCACTTACAAAAGTTGGTCACTCGCTGTTTCCCTCTATCTTTCTTGGCTTCAATGCCCTGAGAGTGTCAAATTCTCCAAGCCTTCTCTCCTCTTTCTGCGTTCAAGAAATATCAAATGCCTCTTTTTGATTTTAAGAGTAAGTGTCCTTTTTATTTTCATATTCTCATTGGTTACATAGTCTGCCCATCCTCCTTCTGTAGAAACCCATCTCTGTTATTTCAAATCTTCCCTTCATCTGTAAGGAAACTGCTTAAAATTTAGTGCCATATAAAAGAATTAATATATACATAGCAATTCCGCACCATATTCATTATTTCTAACGAATTTTCCACATTTCTTAATACTTTGTTTAACTGTTGGAAGGCATCTTTCGCTATTCCAATGCGACTTCGGATTTCGGTGTCACTTTTTTAATCGTCTGTTAAAGCATAACACAGATAGTTAAATTTCTCCGCTTGTTTGATTTTGACAATTTATAACTCACATATCATTATACAATTTCAGTGTATCGTAAACATAAATCTATTAATTAATTGAAAAACTTCGTTAAGTCGTGAAATACTATGAATTACTTTCGAAACCTTGTCTTGGGTTCTAATGTTCTTAAATAACCAATTTTTCTACAAGAATCTAAGCATCATTCAACAATAGCCTTATATTAACTCTCGATAAAATGATTAATTGGTCGGGCAGTAAAGAACGAATTTGTAAACAGTCACTATTACTGCTGATAATGCAAGACTCTCCTAACGATTGAGTTCTCTGAGTGACCCTGTATGTTTATGAAAAATAAATACGTAAATTTTCGCCTTTCTCTCGTCGTCGATGGCCTAGTGGTTAGAATCTCCGGCTGATACCAAATCGGTCGAGTTTCGCTCCCGGCCTGAAGCGGTTGGATGAGCTGCGAAACAGTCAGTCTGTGGATGACTATATATATATATATATATATATATATATATATATATATATACACGATATGTGCATTATATTTGTATCTATTTATCTATACGTAAAGGATGTAAGATTGTGTTTGAAATCTAAATTGAGATTTCTTAAACTTTATACACGACTTCCTATGACATAAGAACACTTTAATATTTATCAAGAGAAACGGCAGATAGAAGCAGAACATCAAAAATATGATCACAAAGCATTTCAGAAAGGGTTCATGGTGTCTTGTATTTTTAATAAGTTTAGCAATCAATTTTTGATGAAAATCGCTTCAATATTTTCACTAGTCAGTACTGCAAAAATCGATTTGCCCTTAGCCACTATTAACATTGGAAATAATCAAGAAAATATACTATACCGAATTGGCAAACTCCTGAAGAAGAGCAGATATCACAAAGGTCGAAACGTTGTGATAATAACAACAAAGATGAGGACGGGTATGAATCTTCTTCTTCTCACCCCTCAGCTATTGGTAAAATTTTAGGACAGACTGGGTTCTATAGACTTGGATGGCAACTAGTCTACCGCAGAAAGAAATGGCAACCTACTGCTGGAAAAAAATCTGCCTCATCAGTCATTTGTCGAAAGATACATGATCGCCTAAGCCTGCATCATGCATGGCACATAACTGATTTTGCTAACAAAAGATCACGGACAGTGTAGTTACATAAAATGTTTTCTAACTATTTATTTCATTATTTTGGTTCAATTTTGTTACTATCCGAAAAAAAACCCGAATCAATTTAGGAAAAAAGATTGCCACAGTGGCATTCTTATTCAAGTAGATGAAATGTCAAATGAAATCAAAGCGTAGGAACATTGGTGATTATATATCAAAGTTTGGTTTTGGTTTGGAAACACAATAAATCATCACCAAAGTAGCCCCCAACTTGTACAATACAATCTTTCAAAGATAGAAGGCCCAAGAGCCACTCAAAATAGTAATAATATGAGGATAAGGATGATATACAAGGACAGGTCGTGAAATGATGAAGATTGTTGGGTTCGGGGAAAACACACAGCTTTTAAAATGTAGCAGCTGGCTGGCTGAGTGGAAAATTCTTCTTATAATTAGGATACGGGGAAAATAAAGGTGATTCAATTATGTACGAGTAACATCGCGTGTTCAAGTTGTAGAAATGTCTCCTGGGTCGGTGGAACTAAAGAATGACTCTCACACTAATATTCCATATTTGATCGAGGATAAATATATATATCGAGTGATATAAATATTGAACAGGATAATATAGGTAGATAGATAAATATGAAAAAACTCAGCGATAGATAGATAGATAGATAGATAGATAGATAGATAGATAGATAGATAGATTATGAACAAAATGAGATAGATAGATAGAGAAAAAGAGAGAGAGAGAGAGAGAGAGATAGATTATGAACAAAATGATCTAGCTAGCTAACTAGATAGATAGATAGATAGATAGATAGATAGATAGATGCTGAGGAGAAAAGGAATCACTAACCCTGACATAGCAGTAGATGATTCTATTCAAAATTCTTCTCCTCAATAATAAATAATTATTATATGTGAACTTTTACCACAGTCAGAATATTTAAAAACAATTAAATAGGTAAAAAAAAAGGAAAACAGAATCTGTCGATTTTTAACAAAATACCTGGCGGTGTACATATAAAATCTCATTGATTCTTCATTTAATGTTCTCTTCTTATCCCCCTGAATCCTTTATATATATATATATATATATATATATATATATATATATATATATATATATATATATATATCCCTTTAAGGAAAAAGTGAGGAAAATCTTGTGGTTAATAGAATAGTTAATGTTTATGTCGTATGATATTAAAGTTAGATTGACGCAATGTATACAGACTCAATCGTACAATTATGATTCGATGTTCAGCTTAGTTTTTTCTTTACGAGTTGTCGATACGAGGCAATATTTTGGCTCTTAACGTATAGCGTTTTTCTAAGTTTTGGCTTTGCCTTTCATTCGTGTTGCAGAACTATTTTCTTGCGGTCTTTTTTTTTCTCTCCACCCTTTTCTCTTCTATTGTTGTCATGCACGTTGGGAAAATTCTGTACACCTTGTTTTATGCATTGTTCCTACTTTTGTTTTTCGTCCATGTTTTACGACTTTTTTTTTTTTTTTTCAAGTCGATATCTACAAAATGCTTCAGTCTTTTCTTAACTGGGTTCTTTGACTTCTATCCACAGTTTTTTTTTCTTTTTTCTTCCTTTCTTGTTTATTCTTTTCTTTCTTTATTTATTTATAACACTTATTTTGTCATACATTTTCAATATCGTTGTTTCATTCTTATTCACATGTGTGTTACTGTTTTTTTGTTGTTGTTTTTTGTTTTTTCTGATTCTTTCTTTCTTGTCTGCTCTTCTTTTTTTCTTTCTTTCTTTTTTCTTTCATCTTCCGTTCGGCTTCGTAAGCCATTCTTAACACATCATCAATTTACAATTTTTCTTTATTATTTTTCAATTTTTTTTTCTTCACATTTTTTTCCCAATTTCTTTTGTATCGATTTATTTACGTCTTCTTCCCGCATTCTCTTTAAGTTTCCTTCCCGATCAAAGCCCCCCCTTTTCATTTTTATCTTTATTATTTTTCCCTTTATTTTATCCTTATTCTTTCTTCCATTCTCTTTCTTGTTGCAGTCATCGTTATTTTATCATTTTACGTCATTTTTTATTTCCTTCCTTGACAATCATGTACTTTTCTTCTTCTTCTTCTTCTTCTTTTTATTATTATTATTATTATTATTATTATTATTATTATTATTATTCCTCTTACTCATTTTCCTCTTTTTCTTTTTCTATTTCCTCTTCCTCCTCTTCTTCTTCTTCCTCTCCTCCTCCTCATCCTTCTTCTTTTTCTTCTTCTTCTACTACTCTTTCTTTCTTTCTTTCTTCTTCTTCTTCTTTTTTTTCTTCTTCTTCTACTACTACTACTTCTTTTTTTTCTTCTTCTTCTTCTTCTTCTTCTTCTTCTTCTTCTGCTTCTTCTTCTTATCCTCATCCTCCTCCACATTTTTTTTTCTTCTTCTTCTTCTTCTTCTTCTTCTTATTATTATTATTATTATTATTATTATTATTATTATTATTATTAATCCTCTTCCTCATTTTCCACTTTTTCTTTTTCTATTCCCTCTTCCCCTTCGTCCTCCTCTTCTTCTTGTTCATCTCCTCCTCCTCCTTCTCTTTCTTCTTCTTCTTCTTCTTCTTCTTCTTCTTCTTCTTCTTCTTCTTCTTCTTCTTCTTCTTCACTCATTATTAACTTTCTCCCTCACTTCTTTCTACTTTTCTTTCATTTTTTCTTTCCCTTTTTTACGTTGTTATTGTCTCTTCGTCTTCTCTTTATCAATTTTATTCTTTTTCTTTTCTAATTTCGCATTTTATATTCTTTTGGCTTTCTTTTTGACTTTTTTCTTTTGTCTTCCAATTACAATTCCTTATTTTCTTCTGATCGCTTTGTTTTTCTTCAAATTCTCCTCCTCTCTTTTGTCACCGTATCCCTTTTCTTAACCTCCTAAAATAATCGTTTTGTATTTTCTCCTTTCCTTTTCTTGACGTTGATATTTCTAATTATCATTTTTTTTTCTTCCTTTAGAAAAAAACAAAAAAGAAGTAAATACTCATATAGTTTTCTCGTTAAAGTCAACGAAATTTCTTGAGAGTCGATGGCCAAGAAAACGACATCTGATCGCAACTGGGCGTTTCTCGGCGATGGTAGAGAAAATCAAAAAATCGCCGACTCCCCAGCCGGTCTCTCTTGTCTCTCTTTCATTTCCCTCTTCTCTCACCAACCAATGAACGGAGGTTGATGGATGGGGGTGAGTCAGATATTCACGATAAAAACTAAGAAGAATTACGCCCGATGTTAACGATGAGGAGAGGACAAGTGATAAAAAAAATGAAACACTTGATTACTGTTATGACGATAATGATGATAATTATGTGGATAATGAATAATGATAGTGAATGTGCTAGTTATCATAAAGATGATAATAATAATGGCCAAGCAAACGGTAATTATGCAAGGCACAATAATGTCAATAATACTGTCATGGTGACAATACCTGAAATTAAAATGACGATAAAATACAATATTTGAAATAATAATAATAATAATAGTAATAATAATAATAATAATAGCAACAACAACAATAATAATAATAATATAATGTATCTTTGAAGATCTTCAAAAAGCTGTCAAATACATTGAAATGCAAATTCTCAAAAATGTAGCACATGGGAACATCAACAATCCCCGTTGTAGTTGGAGCCCTCGGATTGGTTGGAAAAGATTCCAGTAGACTAATTGAAGGGATTCCTGGAAGCCCATGCCTTAAAGAAATACCATAAAATGTTCTCATGCACACAGCCCACAAATTACGAAGGGCTTTATCTATATATATATATATATATATATATATATATATATATATATATATATATATATATATATATATATATATATATATTTGTTTATGTTAGTGAAAAATGTCATGATGCTATTTCTAACCTTAGGTCTCTGGGCGAGACCGGAAAGAAATGTATCCACCAGAAATCTAAGGAGATTAAAATAATAATAATAATAATAATAATAATAATAATAATAATAATAATATTCCGAAAAAACTATAGACCAATTACATGTCTTCCAACAACATACAAACTGTTAACATCTATTTTAACAAAACAGACATATTTCTTCTTTGGAAAGAAATGACATACTACCACTTGAACAAAAAAAGGTGCAAACGAGGCTGCTACGGATGTAAAGACCAATTACTTATTAATAGGATGATCCTGGAAAACTGCTTCCGTGGAAAAAAAATCTTAGTATTGCCTGGATAGATTATCGTAAAGCATTCGATAGTGTACCACATTCCTGGATCTTAAAGTCTTTAAGTATGTACAAGGTATCACCCGTTATCATCAATTTCATCAAACAATGTATGTCGATATGGAAAACTACACTTTACCTCAATCAAAAAATGGAACCTATAAGTCTGGCGAAATAAACATCAATAGAGGAATATTTCAAGGTGACTCTTTGTCTCCTTTATTATTTTGCATATCACTTATAGTATTAACCAGCCAACTTAACAAGACAGAATGCGGTTACAAAATAGCTCAAAAGAAAAAATAAACCATCTATTTTACATGGATGACTTAAAATTGTATGCTAGGAATGACAATGAGCTGGAAGGTCTTCTGCAAACTGTAAAATGCTTCAGTGAAGACATTGGAATGAAATTCAATTTGGATAAATGTGCTAAAGCTACAGTTTTACGAGGATCGCTACAACAAACTTCCTCTATTAGTTTAGACCCTGCTGTAACAATAAAAGATTTAGAACAAGGAGAAGCTTATAAGTACCTAGGTGTAAATGAGAGTGAAGGAATTCACCATAAGAAAATGAAAGAAATAGTGCGTAAAGAGTACTATAGAAGGGTACGACTGGTATTAAAAACTGAATTGAATTCTCAGAACAGAATTATGGCCATTAATAACCTTGCCATCCCAGTGGTCCAATATAGTTTCAACATCTTGAACTGGACTCTAAATGACATCAGACAAATGGATTCTAAAACAAGAAAGCTTCTTTCTAAGTATAAGATGCATCATCCAAAGGCTGATGTAGACCGTCTATACATACCCCGTAAAGAAGGTGGAAGAGGTCTTATTCAGCTAGAATTGTCATACAAGACAACAACTATTGGCTTACTAACTTACATGGAAACAACAAATGACTGGATGATAAAATTAGTGAAACAACATGAAAACAGAAAGAAAAAATATTCAATAATAAAAGAAGGCAGTAAATACAAACAACATTTACATTTAGTAGATTCTGTAGTAAATCAAAACAGAAGCCAAGAACCAACTATTGCAGCAAAAAGATATGAAAAAGAAAGCCAAGGATAAAGCCCTTGAACAGATGAAACAACGCTGGCAAGACAAACCTCTGCATGGCCAATATCCAGAACGTGCAAATAAACCCAATGTTGATAAAGTTAATACTCATCGATGGTTACGAGCATCTGGATTAAAGTCTGAAACTGAAGGCTTTATTCTTGCAGCGCAAGACCAGAGTCTTTTCACTAGGAATTTTCAGGCAAATATCATACATAATAATGTGGATCCAAAATGCAGGTTCTGTGACAAATACCAAGAAACAATAGACCATCTAATCTCAGGATGTTCTATACTTGCCCCAAATGAATATAAAAATCGACACGATAGAGTGGGGCAATACTTACACTGGACAAATGCAAACACTTTGGAAAATGTGTAAGCAAACACTGGTATGAACATCGGCCAGCGCCGGTTACAGAAATAGAAGATGTCACCATTCTATGGGATTATACCATCCACACAGACAGAAAAATTGAAGCAAATAGGCCGGACATTATTGTCAAAAACCAGAAAGAAAAAACTTGCCTACTAATTGATATGGCTTGTCCAGCGGATTGTAACATAGCAACCAAGGAATTTGAAAAACTATCAAAATACAAAGACCTGGAAATTGAAATAGAAAAAATGTGGAAATTGAAAACAAGAATAATACCAGTGGTAATAGGTGCACTTGGAATTATAAAAATGGAACAAAACAACACATTGAAAGAATCCTGAAACCCCAGCTTAAGAGACATACAGAAAATTGTCTTATTAAGTACAGCACACACACTAAGGAGAACTTTGTCTATGTAACGCTAGCAACTTCATCGGAGATAAAAAAAAAAAAAAAAAAAAAAAAAAAATTAACATGAAATGTGGCCATAACAACACACCACGACCTGCCTTAGGTCTTTCCGCAGACTTGGTAGGTAGTGTGTCCATAGCAGAAATCGAATGATGATGATAATAATAATAATAATAATAAAGTTCAGTCACTGAAAATGTGAAGGTGAAATTTCTGTGTCATAATCTTGACAGACAACCGCTTGGAGAACAATTGCCCTGATATCACATTTTTGCACACGAACAATAATGAATTGATATTGATAAACTTTGTGGTACGTTGAGATAAGAGCATCGAGAAATCAGAGAAAACTAAAAATACGGAGGTATCAAATCCTGGCACGGCAAATCAGTGAAATGTACTTGGCAGCAATTCATGTTGTTGTCCCCCCTTTTGTGGGTGGCACACTCCCTTACTATTTCCAGGAATCTTTCTGCCTCGCAAGGCGGTTTGTGAGTATCTGACATCATTAGGATATGATATAAGGTGATAGCGCTGTTTTTTTAAAATTTTTACTAAATTTTCACCCAAAACAAGGCCCAAGAGGCACTCAAGATAGTGTTATTGAGTGGTTGAATGATCGTAAAATTGACTGACTTGTTTTTGACGGCTTATGTACTACTGTACTGTACTGATGCGGCATTCACCCTGGGCGGATTGAGCCGGCTTCTTCCTGTTATGAAAAGAAGATTCTTGGGATAAATTACAGAAGTAGGGTACCCAGGCCTACTCGGATAACGTTCTTGCTTGCCGTGGGGTTCCCACAGACGCAGGGACAGGAACGACCAGAAGCCGCCGGTTACCGATGCAGACGCTCCTTGGATTTTCACCAGAGCCCTTGTTAGTCGGCGTGTATGTCAGACCTGTCCGCCTTGGGTGGCCCTACCAGGAACGAAGTTCCGGGCGGCATAGCTCTGACACTACCGTTTACACCCCCCCCACCGACTGTGAGGTAAGGGTTGGACTTTGGGGGCTTACAGTACCAGGTGTTCCCAAGCGGTCCCCCATCTAAGTACTGATCTGGCTCTACGATGCTTAACTTCGGTGATCGAACGAGAACCGATGTTTCAGCGTAATTTAACCGTAACCGACTTGTTTTTGACGGCTTATGAACCATTTGCAAATTACTTAAAGTCAGAAAATATTTCTATTTGAAATTTTGGGAGATATTAATGATTTACTGATAGAGATCCTACAAATTAACCCATAGCTGGAGGAAGAAGAGGTGGATCCATACTTTTTCCAAGAGTATTTAAGCCTAAATGAATATAACGAACTACTAGAATTGAAACCCGGTTTTTCGATTTCCATTTCCGAGCCGTTATACATTACACCACCCGCACATCCAAGTTTACATCACCTGGTATTCCCCTAAAAATTAACCATCTAGGCTCGATATCGCTTGATCGTACAAAAACCGATGTTTCTGCGTGATATAGCCGTAAGTCGTATGAGCGTAAGAGGAGGAAGCAAGTGCAGATTATGAGAATATGTAGGATAGATAACGGTCTAGGTCAACTTGGAGT